CGGCGAGGACCTTTTCTTCGCGAGGGTGAAGGTAACGGCCAGTCCTGCCTCCCGGGACGTGGACACGTGGCCGGGAAACACGAGCCCAGCACGACTGGCAGATGCTGGCGCTGGGCTTTGGTTGCCTCCAACCAGGAGCCATCTCTGCCAGTTCATCTCAGCTCCCAGAGCCCAAAATCAAACATCCCCCAGGCCAAAACACATCAGAGTCTGTGCAGCATCAGCCCAAACTCACCCCAGCAAAGTAGTTTTTGCTCGAGCGCTGATAAAAGGGTTTGAAATTTGGCGGGGAGGTTGAGCACGTGGGAGAACGTGCTGCTCCAACATTGCTGCTACGTCGCGGCTAGGGGACTGCAGCCCCGCCAGCCTCGCGCTGTGCACAGAAATAAGCCCTGATCTCGCACCCTGGGCCAAAGCCGGCTCCTCTCCAGCCTGGTTTCCCCGTGCTGCTCCCCATCCTCTTCCTCGCACGTCCAGCTCCCGGATGGTGAGGTCGGCACGAGCCCAGGACCACGTACCCGCGGGTATAAACGTGCTGTAGGAAACCCCATGGGAGCGAGGTGGACGGTACAGGGCTGAGCTGCTCGGAGCAGCTCTCCCCTTTTGGCCAAACGCCACGTACCTTTTATAGCTTCTTTTGGCCATGGTTTGGTGCCCGTTTTATCCAGGGAACGTCCGTCTCGCACTCGTAATGCCCAAGTTTAGCTGAAAGCTTTGGCGTGGCCGCCGCTGGTTTGCGTGGACGCGGAGGTAGCTTTCGGCTGCGGGGTCTCGGACGTTGGGTTGCGTTTTTCCCCGTTGGGTTCGTCTCGCTTGACTTCAGGCTCCGCTCACCCGGTGCCCAGCAAAGGGACCGGTTCGTCCCGCAAGACTCGAACCACCAAGGAGCTAAACCCCCTCGGGGAGCATCCAACCTCTGTCCGCAAACGCTGCCTTACCTGAAACGTGTTCGAAAAGCTGGGAGAAAACCTTCGCAGTGATACGTGAACACGATACAGTGGTTGGGTTTTTCTTGTCCGGCGGAAGTCTAAGAGGACATCCGTTGCGATGAGTCACAGCTCCCGCTGTCCGCTGGGGATCGTAACCCGCTGCCGGCGCTTGCAAAATTGGGAAGCTCTTCTCCGTACAAACGTGCTTACGTGCTGCAGCGATCTCTGTTTCAGACCTTGCTGAAGAAAGACGGCCACACGGAGATCGAACCTCTCAGCTTCTGCAAAGCCAAGCACCTGGACACCGACCGGCTCCTTGTCGTGATCAGGAACGAGGACATATCTTCGCACATCCACAAGGTAAGGTCCGGGTCTTTTTTTTTCTGCTACAGCTTGGACGCACCGTGTTCAAATATCAGGGTCCATTTTAAATAGCTTTTTAAATTTTGCATTCAGTACAGGTGTAGATTTAAGTCTCTGCCGATACACTGTTCTCCCCAGTAAAGAGGTGAAGAGCTGTTAAAAACAAATTCCTCAAAAATACGAAGCCAGTCAGCCCCGTTTTTGATCGCTGAGTAGCGGCACTCGGAGCGACCCAGCTCGAAAGAGCCAGGCTCGGCTTATCTAGCGTAACGGAGCAGTTAAGCCAGGCTCTGGCTTGTGGGTGTTCAGGGCTGTTGCAGCAGCCTGAGCTCCCCGCGGGCGACTAAGGCTCCTAGGGCACCCTGCGTCACCGTCCACGGTTCGGGGTCAGGCTCTGGGGGACGCGAGCGTCATGGCGGCGCGGGTGGGCGGGTGGAGGCCGGGGTGGGTTCCCTGCTTCTCCCCGGCGTGAGGTGAGTTTGGGGAGGGGAGAACGGCGCGAGTGCTGGCTGCGGGCACCAAGGCGCGTCTGCCTCGAGCAGGTCCCGTGTTTGCTGAGGCTAAAGCACTGCCCGAACGTGGTGTTCGCCGGGGTGGACAGCCCCGAAGACTTAACGGGTCACACGTACCAGGAGCTGTTTCATACCGGCGGCTTCGTGGTCTCGGACGACGAGGTGTTGGAAACGGTAACGCTGGGTGAGTCTCGCTCGCGTGCGAAGCGGTGTCGGCTCCTGGAGGAGGTCCCTGTGGGTGAGAGGGCGCAGCCTGGGCTTCGCTCCCGACCCCCAAGCCAGGACTCTGGGAGGCCTGGAGCTAGGAAGCGCTGAGCTTCCTGCCCGCGGTCCTCAGCGTCAGGCCGGGGAGCCGAACGTGAGCATCGCGCCAATGGGAGATTCGTGGGGGAAGTTGCCGCTGTGTTTCTGCCCTTCAGATCCTCTTTGAAAGCACAGAAACGCGTTGGACGGAGTTTGCAGGGTTCGGAGTGGAGCAGGGAGATACTTGGGGGTTTGCCAGGCTCCACTTCTCTTTAAGAGAACCAGAATTGTCCTGGGAGAGGCCAAGCATCCTGCCGTGAGCAGCAGGGCCGGCCGTGCTCAGCCGAGCTGCGACACTGTGAGCGGGGAGCCAGGACTGCCCGCTCTCAGCAAAGCTGCTCTCAGCATCGCTGAGCTGGTTTGCCGCCATCTGCTTCCAAAACCTTGCCACGGGCGTCCTCTCCTCCTCCTTTCGTGGGAGTGATTCTTCTGTTTCGCCTGTTTGGCATTTGTGAGACCTCCCTTGGGTCTTGGGTCCAGTTCGGGGCTCCCAAGGCAAGTGCAGCGGTGGCCACCAAGGTGGTCGGGCAGCACAGTGTACAAGGATGGGCAGCCTGGAGAGGAGAAGGCAAAGGGGAGAGAGAGACCTTATTGCTCTCTTCAACTCCCTAATGGGAAGGGGCAGAGAAAGTCGAGCCAAGCTCTTCTTGAAGGTGCTCAGTTATGGGACAAGAGGCAACGGGGACAAGTTGCACCAGGAGACATTCCTAGTAGGGAAAAAATTCACAGCAAGGGTGTTCAAACACAGGGACGGGGGCTCAGAGAGGCTGTGAATCTCCATCCTTGGAGATATTCAAACCTCACCTAGACAAGGCTCTGAGCAACCTAAGTTGGCCCTGCTTTGAGCAGGTTGGACCAAAGACCTCCGGGTGCCCCTTCCACCCTCGGTCAACCTCCTACTCCTGCTGTTTCCCCAGGGCAACTGAAAGAGGTGGTGAAAGTGCTGGAGAAGCTGAACGGCAGCGGCAAGTGGAAGTGGCTCCTTCACTACAAGGAGAGCAAAAAGCTCAGAGAAGACCTAAGGTAACGGCCCTGCGATCACGGGTCCCTGCTGTCCCTGCTGTCCTGCTCGTCACTGCAGCGAGGCTGTAACCCCTGCTGTGGCCTGTGGTGTCCCCACGTACACCCGATGTGGGGACGCAGGACGAATGAGGTGCCTCTGGTTGAGTTTTGGTCTCTTACAGAACGAATTTGAAGGTTTCTGTTCAAATGAGAACTTTTCTTTATCAGTGAGAGACTTTGTGCCCCAAGTCTGGAATCGCTGTAGGTCACCGTTTGCATGCTAGAAAGTAAAATGGGATGTATTTATTTTTTTAAATACCTCTCTGAGATGGAGCAGCAGGACGTGGGGCCCGGAGAGGATCCACTGAAACGTTGCGTCTTGCACATGATCGTGAATGAGGCAGAGCTCTGGCGGCTGCTTCTTGCACCCCGCTGCGTCTCCATACGGCAGTTTCTCCCCGCTTTGGCAGAGGCGCCCTTTGCGTTAACAGCCTGCGAGGGGCTGAGGAAAGGCGCGAATCCCGCTACGCGTGAAAAGCTGCAGGCTCTGAAGGTTGCCTGGCAGGCAGGGAGAGGGCTTTGGCCAGCTCGCCCCAGCTGCGCCTGTCTTGTGCTGTTGGTTTTCCCGCTTATTTTAGGTGTCGCTACAACTTGCGTGTTTAAATAAAAATGTGTTTTTGTTTTTTTTTAAAGAAGAAAAGCAAGACAAAGAGTATGCTCTCGATTGAAATGTCCTGCTTTTACAGTGTTTGAACTCAGAGGAAGACATTTTTATGAGGCAGACCAGCTTTTTCAGTGCTGGAACATGAGCCAGAGGGAGCAACTTTCTAGTAATGGCCTAGAAACAGAAAAGCGATCCGTTTTCACTGTCTGAGCAGGAAATATTACAACAAGTCAGAAAAAAAAAAAACCTCTGAAATCCTCCTCACAGTAAGCATTCCTGGTGATAGCACAAAGTAATTGCTGGGGTTTTTTTTGAAGACCTGGTTTTCAGTCTGCCACGGTGCTTCTTTGAACGGCGAGATGTCTCCAAAGGTGTCTGGGTAGGGTCTTCCGTCGTGAACTCCGCATCGGTCAGAGGCCGGTCCCTTCGTGCCTGCTCGTCGCGTGGGAGAGGGGACAGGGTGCTGCCACGCGCCGGTTCAGCTCGCCCCTCTCCCGGCAGGGTGGACGCCAACGCCCATAAGAAGAACTTGATCCTGAAGTCGTGCCAAGGAGCCGATCTCATCGAGGTGCTGCACTACCACTCGTGCGACTCCAGGTCGTCCCCGAAATCCGAGTACGTGAAGTGCTTGCTGAACCTGCAGGTGCAGCACATCAGCGCCAGGTTCGCCATCTATCTCACAGGTAAGGACAGGCTCCCGGTGCTGCTCTCCTGCCTGGTACCCGCCGCTCCGGGCATCCCCCCACGAGCACGGCCTGAAAATTGGCCTGGGGTTGCTTAGGGCCTCGTGGGAGATGGACAGCAGAGGGGAAGGGCGATGCACAAAAAGGGCAACTCAGATTCGGTACCGAGCTTTGCTGTGAGGGCAAAGAAACTTGCATCGGCAGCAACACGTTGGTGTCCGGTGAAACTGGTGCATGTTGCGGAGGGAACGCGTCGGGGTCGGACTCGGGTAGCTGCAAAGCGCGCGCTGGCACGGCGTGCTGGCTAGGAAGATGCTTCCAGCGGGTGGAGGAGGCACGAGAAACACCCCTTTGCGCTCCCCGTTCCGCCAGACTCACTGCTTTGAGGTGCGAGCTGGTTCCTTACGCGCCAGTGCAGTGAAACGCCAAAGGAACAGATTTTTTTTTTTTTTTTTGGAGGTGTGAGAAATCCTGGCAGGTTTTCGAGCCTCCTGGGGCTTTACATCGCTTTCTAATTCCGTCGGTGTTTGGCTGAGGCTGTTTGCAAAGCGTTGCTGTTAATCTGCTCAGCTTTGCAAAAACGGAATAATGGCAGGAGGATGTGGGGCGTTTTCTGTAGGTTTCAGCACCCTCTCGGCAGCGACGTGGGGCCACGTCGGCTCAGTAAGGCAGTCTGACAGCTCCCTTTGCTCGTAGAAAAGAAGCAAAAGGAACAATCTCGTTTGCGCATAGGAATTGTGACGCCATGCCTTCCTTTGCAGAAAAGCCCAGTGTCAGCAGGGAGGTCTTTGAAAGCCAAGGCATCCTCGTGGCCGACGTCAACACCTTCCTCGGGACCGTGCAGAAAGTGGCTGCCCCGTTCAGAAGAAGTTACTGGTAAGGGAAGAGCTGGCAATCGACCCCTTGGCCCCAGAAAGCCAACAGCACCCGGGCTGCAAATTGCCGAGGTCCAGAAATGACGCTGGACCAACGAGGCTGCAAACAGGCAGCGGGGCAGGGAGGCGGCTGTCGCAGCGCCGGGCGCAGAGCTCGGGGGCCGTTCGCAGGCTCTGCTCCTC